ATCACTGAGCTCTTCAAGGATGCTGGGGCTCCCTTCAAATTTATTTCTCAAAGTACTGAGAAAGACATACCTTTCTTCAAGGTACACCTGACCTTCCCAGCATGGGTGAGCAGGTATTAAATGACAAATTCACTCTAGCATTCTAATCTCCCTAAGCCTTTGAATCCTTTCCTCTACATTAAACCAGGGGAGGTCAGGCATCTCCAACTCACTCAGGATGGGCCATCTTTTAATCCATGTTTCAGCCAACCAGCTAAACTGTTAGAGCCCTTCCTGACTCCTTAAGCCGAAACATTACATTCAGAATCTCTGCTTAGTGAACCTCTATCAATAAATTAGGCCTGATCCAACTTTACGTAACTTCCACCATTATCCTACCCCCTTAATATCCATTCCTATGCATGTTCCCTATGGTTCTACTTGTACAATTAGAAAACTCAAGTAGTTCTTTTGGGGTGCAGTGTATCTCCTGGTGGGTCACACTGTGCACCTCACTTTTAGGAGCCTGCTGGGACTTGAAGGGGTGGTGGGATTGGGTGCTAAAAAGAATCAGCATTGTCTGGCATAGGAACTGCCTCAGGGAAGGCCATTACTGTTTCCTAGGGCAATGCAGGAAAGTCCCCTAAGACAAGGTAGAAAGGCCAATACCACCCTGAGTGGGAATGACACTTTTTTTTTTTTTGAGACAGAGTTTTGTTCTTGTTGTCCAAGTGGGAGTGCAGTGGTGTGATCTCGGCTCACCACAACCCCACCTCCAGATTCAAGTGACTCTCCTGCCTCAGCCTCCCAAGTAGCTAGGATTACAGGCACCTGCCACCACGCCTAGCTAATTTTGTATTTTTTTAAGTAAAGGCGGGGTTTCTCCATATTGGTTAGGCTGGTCTTGAACTCCTGACCTCGGGTGATCCGCCCACCTCAGCCTCACAAAGTACTGGGATTACAGGCATGAGCCACTGAGCCTGGCATGGATGGCACTTTTGCTGGAGGCAGGGAGGACACTTCCACTGGTAAAAAAGACTTGTCAGAATTTAGGGGCTCAATGTCCCTAGCTTCATCAGAGTCTTCATCAGAGTCTTCCCACCTTATAGGATCCCATTCTTTTCTGATCAATGCCCTTGCCCTTGCTTTTACAGCAGACACCCTATGTGGTTGGAGTTCAATTTGCATTGTAATTCAGCCAATTGAAGGATGAGGTTGGGCGTTTAATTTTCAGAAATTTCAACCCCGCAGCTACAGGCTAGAAGGCCCTCCTTCAGAGCACACCTAGAAGGTCTTAGATCGTTTATGCAACACTTTGAGATGGGAATTCAAATCCCTGAGCTCATCTTTTTCTTTCTCCACTTAATCCAGAGACATTAGGAGCAAGTCATTATATGCCTTAGTTTTCCAAAAGTATCTGAGTATCATATATGGAACCACTTGGCTCCTTGCTTCTTACAAATGGTTGATTAGGAGTATCCAATGCAGATATTTTCTCTATCTCTATAAACAGATCACACCATGGACTATCCATGTTCTCTTTACTACTAGAAATACGGTCGTTAGCATTCTTAAATCTAAGCAGATTAAGCAGCCAATTGCCAAATCCCCAAAATCAATTCAGAAAACCCATCCTTAAAATTTTGTTCCTCTATATACTCTTTTTTTTTTTGAGACGGAGTTTCGCTCTTGTTACCCAGGCTAGAGTGCAATGGCATGATCTCAGCTCACCGCAACTTCCGCCTCCTGGGTTCAAGCAATTCTCCTGCCTCAGCCTCCCGAGTAGCTGGGACTACAGGCAAACGCCACCATGCCCAGCTAATTTTTGCATTTTTAGTAGAGACAGGGTTTCACCATGTTGACCAGGATGGTCTTGATCTCTTGACCTTGTGATCCACCTGCCTCAGCCTCCCAAAGTGCTGGGATTATAGGCTTGAGCCACCATGCCCGGCCTCCTCTATATACTCTTAGTACCAAAATTTTCTGTCCCAGTCCCTTCTGGCTGCTGTAACAAAATACCAAAACCTGAGCAGTTTTTAAGTGATAAATTTATTCCTCACAATTCTGGAGGCTGGAAAGTGCATGATCAAGGCACTGGAAGATTCAGTCTCTGGTGAGAGTCCACTTTCTTGTAGACAACTATCTTCTCATTGCAACCTCACATGGTAGAAGGGGTGAGGGATATCTCTGGGGTCTTTTTTATAAGGGCACTATCTAATTTATGAGGGTTCCTTCCCCACGAGCTGACCACCTCCCAAAGGATTCACCTTCTAACACCACCACCTTAGGTGTTAGGATTTCAGGATACGAGTTTGAAGAAACGAAACATTCACACCACAGCAGCATATACCCAGGCCTGGACAATCAGCATAACCCACTCTTCTGGCTATATGTGATTCTTGGTCTAATGAGACTTTAGCTCTTATTACTGCACTGCAGCACTGATAAGATAAAATATTAAAGGTGTTGCAGCCACCATGCTCGCAGAGGAGACAAGCCTTCCTGAAAATAAAATCAACACAGACGAAGGCTAAGCTAAGAAATAGAGAAACAGGTTCCTGAGGACATTATTTAGAACTTTGATTCACTGTGCCTGAAGCCAGGTCAACCCTTAGGCCTTTTCAATTGCAAGGACCAAAAATTTTCCTTTTCATATAAGCCAGTTTGAGCTGAGTTTCTGTCTTAGGCAACAGAAACATTCAGCAGATACAGACAGAATATGGGAAACGCCATCCTTTTGGCTGCAAATTGAATATCAAGTTTCAGTCTGCATGAACACTCAGAGTTGCATACTGGAGTCGGGCAGTCTCCCCAAACTTCCCTGCCTGTTTTCCTGGGAAGGAGAGAAGAAATTGCACTACAAGGCTAGGGCATAGAATCTGAGAGAACATGACAAACAGTCTCAAACTTCGTCTTTGCAAACAGATTTTCAAGGACTTTGATTGTTCCACGTTTCTTGGAGTTCTTAACCTCAACTACCACGTTTTCCAAGCAAAGAATATCCAGCATATGCTCCAGCATCTTTGTGTTGCTATGGCAACAGATATGTCCCCGCCCCCAGCTCCTTCCCCAGTTCACAGCAAATTGGCAGATGACCATTTGCAGAAGACAAGCAGGAGCTAAAGAAATTCAATGACAGAAGATAGTCACCACTCACTTTAGGCAAGCTGTCAGCTGTCAAGTCTAAGTGGGTAACGGGACCAGTAATGGAGACAAAGCCAATGGGAGAAATTCCAGGAAGGGGCATCAAAGCAGGAACAAAGAAAAAGAACTAGGGGTGATGGGTGCATTGTATTATGCTGAATCCCATTTGTTATTGGGCACTGAAAGACTGTGCATGGTGGAAAGTCTTCTCAGGACAGTTTCAGCTGCATGTAAAAGAATGCCCCAGGGTCAGACACAGTGGCTCATGCCTGTAATTTTAGCACTTTGGGAGGCCAAGGTGGGAGGATGGCTTCAGCCCAGGAATTTGAGACCAGCCTAGGCAACACAGGGAAACGCTATCTTTACAAAGAAATAAAAAATTAGCCAGGTGTGGTGGCACGCACTTCTAGTCCCAGCTACACAGGAGGCTGAGGTGGGAGGGTTGTTTGAGCCAGGGAGGTTGAGATACAGTGAGTGAGCCATGGGCACTTACTGGACACTAGAGCCTGGGCACTCTAGCCTGGGCAACAGAGCATGATTCTGTCTCAAAAGAAAAAATAACAAAAATAAAAAAGATGCCTCAAACAATAAGACTTTGAAAAAAAAAAAAAAAGCTTCTTATCCCATCTATCCAGTTTGGGGATAAAAGGACTGTGAGTGGTCTCAGCAGCTCATCAGCATCATCACGAACCCACGGTTCTTTTAACTCTTCCACTCTGCCATGCTCAGGATGTTAGCAGCATCTCCCCCATTGACCCAAAAGGGCTGCCACAACTTTAAGCATTATATCCTTGCACAAAAATGCCCAAGAAGACAAGGGAAGGGATGTCTCTCCCTTATCAGAAAGGAAAAAACTTTCCTAGAATCTTTCCCAGGTCTTCCCCTCAGTTCCCATTAGCAGGATTGGGTCACATGCTCATTCAAAAGCTACAAGAGAGCTGGGAAAGCAAATATCAGGAATTTTTAGCTTCCAGTCTAAGAGGTAGCCTCTGCCAGAAAGGTGAAGGCTGTGAATGGCTGCTGGGTAGGCCACTCAACAACGTACCCTAAACTTTAAACATATTTGTACCAAAACTCTTGCCATATCTTTATATCACCCATACTGTCATTCACTTAATATTGTGCTCAAATCAATTTATCTTTTGTTTAACCTAAATACCTTTACTTAGGTAGCAAATTCTATATCCTTATCATAAATGCGAAACCCCCACTAGATATGTTGTTCCCAGTCCACATTAAAGCACATTTATCATAATTAAAACAATTTGTTGCATATTTTACCTACAAGCATCTCTTTTCCCACTAGCAGTAGTCATACTTTGATATTCACAGCAGCAGGATAAATTCATTTCTTCCTCATTCATGGGCCCTGATATTAAGAACACCCTAACAAGCAGTGTGCAGTGGCTCATGCCTGGAATCCCAACACATTGGGAAGCCAAGGCAGGAGGACTGCTTGAGCACAGGAATTTGAGACCAGCCTGGCCAACATGGAAAGATGTTGTCTCTTAAAAAATAATAACAATAAAATAAAGAACACCCTAACAAAGTGCTATAACGTGCACTGTAAAGTGCCGCAGCCACACTACCAAGTAGGCCTCTGCCTGTCACCCTCAGTGCTCCAGCTCTCAAAGTGAAGACATTAGCAAAAACACAATAGGCCAACTAGCTGTTTCCTATTCAGCTGCACCCCCTCTCAAAATGTTTTGTTTCGTTCTGTTTTCCACTAAAAGGAAAACTGTCTCAAAAGCTGTAGGTTTCCACATGCCTTAGAACGAGATCTTCCACACTTACTCGTCTAAGCATGCTCACTCACATTTAACCACAAGGCAGCATTGACTGTGGGCAGAGAAAAGCGATCGATGCCCATTACTTACATCAGAGGCTGGACCCTTGTCAGCGCCAGGGCAGGAGAATGTGACAAATTCATGGCACCGCTTGAGCAGCAAACTGCAAAAGAGAAAATCAGGGCGGAAGGAAGGGAAGAAGGAAAGTGGAGAGGAGGAAGAGAGAGAAAGGGAGGAAAAGATCATTAAACCTGGACTTGGCCAAGTAAAGCCTTTATGCCAAAATAAACAATAATGTCAGTTTCTGCAGCTTGTCCTTTGCTGAAGTCAAACTCTTGGGTACGTAGATGTTTCGTCTTCCATAAGAGCTAAACTTCTAAAGTTAGCTAGGGTTTGAAAGATTCCATATGCTCAAAATTACACTCCCTTGACGATCCCTTAAAGTGCCTGGTCTTCTATTGATTTTGGAACAGAATATTGTTTCCTGGATCAGGTGCCAGATGAAGTAGTTGGCTTGTGTTTAGGTGAATAGTGCATAAGAAATACGTATCTTTAAATCCTAGAATCACACTTAGAGAGGTGTTCATACGATGAGGGACATGTGGAAACGGAACAGGATGGCAGACTCATGTCCCATCTCACCAAAAGCAATGTCAATCTAATAAAAGAGTAGGAAAAAAATAGGCAACAACGTTTACATTGTCACTTTAATAGTTTGCAAGCAAATGCATATACAGACATATTTGAATTGGTCTGAATTCAATGCATCTATGCTATGGCTCCCCTGTTTGGAGGTTCTATCACTCTGGGAGAGGTACAATGAAAGAATGTCTACAAAATAAAACTGTTTTTTTTTTGTTGTTGTTCAAATCATCTTTTACAGTCTTGGTGTTTAAATCTTATTTTACAACCTCTAGATTGCAGGTTTCTGTAGGACGGGTGCCATGCTTTAGAGTTTGGTGCCAAGCTCAGAGTCTTTCTAAAGTACACGCTCAGTATATGAAAATAGAACAGGAAACCTCAAGGCCATCTCTAGTGATACAATGGGTCTACGCGGCAATCATCAATGGTTGTGAAGACTGCAAAAAGATACTGCTTGCCTACTGAGGACAGCTCACATCACTACCTACGAAGTACTCTTGCCAAATAATCAGACATGATTGGTTCGAGTCTCTTGACACAACATCAGATTTACAGAAAATACAAGTGACAGAGGAATATACTAAATGACACCACAGGGATGCAATCAACCAACACCCCCCACCCAAATACCCAGAATGTAGAAAACTACAAGGCAATGAATATGGTTTCCTCAACAAATAAACTGCAAGAGGGGGCTGTAAGTGAGGAGAAAATAAGAGGAGAAACATATATATTCAAAGAAATTTAAGAAACCTATCAACTGATTTTTTAAATTTCACTTTAAGTTCTGGGATACATGTGCAGAATGTGCAGGTTTGTTACATAGGTATACATGTGCCATGGTGGTCTGCTGCACCTATCAACCCATATCAACTAAATTTAATATGTGGACCTTGTGTGGATTCTAATTGGTAAAAACCAATAGTTAAAAAAATTATAAGGCAATCAGGGAAATGGATATACTCACTTTCTGATGACATTAGGGAATTACTGTTACTGATATTAGGGAATCAAAAATAATTGGTGTGATAATGTTCTTGAGATTTTTTGTTATAGAATCCTTATCTTTGAGGATACCTCTTAAAATCTTTACGGATAAAATAATTCAGTTTAAAATAATTCAGTATATTAAGGTGGGGATAGAAAGGGGAGGATTACAGATAAAAAAGAAATTGATCGGCCGGGCGCGGTGGCTCACGCCTGTAATCCCAGCACTTTGGGAGGCCGAGGTGGGCGGATCACGAGGTCAAGAGATCGAGACCATTCTCGCCATGATGAAATCCTGTCTCTACTAAAAATACAAAAATTAGCCAGGTGTGGTGGCATGCGCCTGTAGTCCCAGCTACTTGGGAGGCTGAGGCGGAAGAATCACTTGAACCCAGGAGGCGGAGGNTTTACTCATCATGAAAGTAAAGGATGACAGCATAGTCTTGTCCCATGCCCGAGCTTTCCCCAGCTTAACGTGCCTCTCCTTCTCTACACTTTAACCACACAGGAAAGTTTTCCACCTGTACTCAAACTAACCTTTAGAACTTACCTTTTCCTTGGAAATTATCCACAGTGTTCTCAGTGTGTTTAAATTGCAGGGTCTTATCTGGGATGATATTACACTTTTTCTCTTTCTTTCCTCATATTATATTGTTAGGTTGTCTCTCATTTTTCTTCCAGAAGTCTGTGTTCTTTCTTGTCTATTTTTATCATTCCATCACATTAAGGAAGCAAATTATGATTTTATGGATCAACTCTACCTGGTTTTATTCTACTTTATTAATTGCTACTTTAACTTTTTTTGTTCTATGTATCTGTGATTGTAGTGCTTACTTGTATTTGTGTTACTTATTGGTTGGGAATGCGAATTCCGGAGTCTGCGGGCCAGGTGTGCATCCTGTCTCTATCGTTTGCAAACTCTAAGGCTAGGTACACTACCTCAACTTCCTATACTTCAGCTTCCTCTCTGGAAAATAGCAGCGATAACCAGACCCATATCACAGTGGTGTTGTCAGAACTACATGAGTTATCCCATGCTCAGAACCACGCCAACCATATCATGACTATTCTATAAATGTCAGCTAATATTATCCACTGTACTTTTTAAAGCGTCTTGAATTGACTGCTCAATTCATTTATTTCCATTCTTCTTCATTAAACATTTAAAGATATTACGGCTAAAAACCTTTCTTTTAAGTACAGTTTTGGCTGCATCCTATCATTTATATATAATCCCATCATCATATCAAGTTTCTAAGTGGTCTCTTAGCAGAGTTATTTATTTTTTGACCCAGAACTATTTAGGAAAGTATTTTCCCCCATTTTCAAGTACTTGCTTTATTCTACAACCTTTCTTCCAAACATCCAAAACATCAGTTATTTTCTAAAAAAAAAAAAAAAAAAAAAAAAAAAAGAAATTGATCATGATGTGGTCATTATTGAACTGGTGATGCACACATGAGAATGCATTATACTGATCTGTTACTTTTACATATGTCCAATCTTTTCCATAATACAAAAAGTTTGAAACAGAGAAAGACAGAGAAACAGAGAAAACCCAAGTTAAAAGACATGGGGGTTGCGGTAGGGTTACAAAATTAAAATATGCTGAATCTTATATTCCTCAAAAGATTACAGATATTGAGAAATTGCATATAGGACATTATAAGTTTAAATATGTGTGTTAACAATTAAGGGTAAAAATAAGTATATAAACTGGGTATGGTGGCTCAGGTCTATAATCCCAGCACTTTGGGAAGCCGAGGCGGGAGGATCACTTGAGCCCAAGAGTTTGAGACGAACCTGGGCAACATAGTGAGACTCCATCTCTACAAAAAATAAAAGATTGTCCAGACATGGTGGTGCATGCCTGCGGTCCAGCTACTCCGGAGGCTGAGGCGGGAGGATTGCTTGAGCCCAGAAAGTTGGGACTGCAGTGAGCTGTGACTGCATCATTGCACTTCAGCCAGGGCAACATAATGAGACCCTGTCTCAAAAATAAATAAATGAGATTAGAAAAACTATGTATTCCCTTTAAACCACTAAAAGGAAAAACTGGACAAAGAAAGACAGTCTAAGTACACTTCAAACAGCCTTCTTCATGCTCCAAGGTCATATAAATACTACTCTTTGGAATTTTTTTGTACTTTTATGGGGCATAATTTCTGCTTTAAACTCTTCGGTCCATCTGTAATTTCTTGGAATCTAATGTGAAATGGGAATCCAATTTGCCACTTTTTTCCAAAGCAGTATCCAATTGTCCCAGCATCCTTTATTGAATAATTCATCCTTTCCCACTGATTTCAAATGCCAACTTTATTATATGTTCAATAATCATATACACTGGGGTCTGTCTTTGGGCCTTCTATTCCGTGCCACTGATCTGTCTTCTCGTATAGCAATATGGGCTTTAATTATAGTAGCTCTGTAATATGCTGTATCTTGGCAGGGCGAGTCCTCCCTCATTATCCTTATCTTCAACATTTTCTTGGCTATCACTGCATGTTTATTCTTCCAAGTAAACTTTAGAATCAGTTTATCAAGATTTTAAAAATACCAATGGAATTTTTATTGGAATTGTATTCAGTCAACCCCCAGCCTCCAAAATATGATTGGGATTTTGATTGAAATCATGTTAAATTTAGAAATTAAATTCAAGATAATTGACGCCTTGACAACAATGAATCTTTCCATCAGGAAATGGCTGTCCTCTTGTTGAACTCTTATTTTCTCTATATTAGTCCTACACATTGTTCCTTTAGTATCATCTAAGGGAGTCTTCTTTTTTCTTTAATTTTTTTTTTCTTAGAAATTCACTTTTTCTTAACATCTCCTTCTTGAATTACAAATAAGAGATTCTTTTGCATGCTATTGTAAATTTGACATGTGTTCATTTTGTTTCCCAATTGGTCATTTTTTAAAAATGGGAAAGCAAATAGCTGTGTGCAGTAGATCACACCTGTAATCCCAGCACTTTGGGAGGCCAAGGCAGGCAGATCACTTGAGGCCAGCAGTTCGAGACCAGCCCAGTCAACATGGCGAAATCCTGTCTCTACTAAAAATACAAAAACTCGCCCGGCATGGTGGCAGGCACCTGTAGTCCCAGATACTCAGAAGGCTGAGGCAGGAGAATTGCTTGAACCCAGGAGGTGGAGGTTGAAGTGAGCCAAGATTGTGCCACTGCACTCCAGCCTGGGCAACAGAGCGAGACTCCACTTCAAAAAAATAAAACAAAACAAAAGGAAAGAAATAGATTTTTATCATATTTATTTTAAAGCATTTTTTAAAAAATTCAAATAGTTTTGTGGGGTTTTAGTTGCTTCCTTTGAGTTTTCCAGATAGAAAACCATATTACCCCAAATAATATTTTTTATTATTTTCTCTTTTCCACTTGTCATATTTCCATGTTCAACTTTCCC